GTAATTATTATTATTATTGTTTGTTTGTTTGTTTATGGCCTGTTCACACTCCTCTCCCTCTCTCTCCCTTGTTTATCCCTTTCCTGCTTGTCATGTGTCTTTCCTCTCTCGCTATTTCAGGTCATCTCCATTTCATTAAAGATCCCTGCATCACATTTCATGAACAAATGTCATTCTTACACTGAGAATAGATGTAATAAAGTCAGGTTTGGTTAGGTTACGTTAGGTTCCTTCTCCCCCCCGTAAATTGCCGCGGCTCGCCTTGCTCTGGGTTGGCTGCGCGTGTCCGGAGATCCCCACGCCGCGTTTCCCCAAGCAAGTGTCTTCCTTGCGCCGGGAACGGAAGCATTTTGTTCAGGTCTTGAGGTTTATTGCTGGTCTTGGGTTTGGGTGCCTTCCTTGTCTTAACATTTTTTTCTGTTTTCCTTTGGTTTCTCTTTCTTCTTTCTGCATCTTGTCCTATTCTTGAATGTGTGGGATAAGTTTGGTAATAGTTTATAGTTGAAGAAGGTTTTAGTTTTTTTTGTTTTTTTTTAGGGATGATAATATTGGTTAAACATGATCATTGGTTAGGGTTGTGGTGTTTTGCTTCCCTCTCTCCTCTGCTTTCTTGTCTCTCTCTCTCTCTCTTCTCTTTCTTATCTCTCTTCCTCGCCATTTTTTCTTGCTTTTACCCTCGTTCTTTCTTGCCTCACACCTTGTGCGTCTTGTCACTTGTTTCCATTTTGTTTTTGTTTTTTTTTCTGCCTCTCTGTCTCTCCTTCTTTCTTGTGTCTCCCTCTTGTTGTTTTTTGCCTCCCTCCCCATTATTTTGTCTTTCTTGCTTCTCTCTTCCTTCTCTCTTTTCCCCCCTGCTTTTTTTCCCTCTCCCCTTCATATATTTGTTTTTGTTTACTGCCTTCTCCTTTTTACCCCTTTCTTGTTTTTCTTTTTCCATTAGTTTTGTTTTTTTGCTATTTAGTTATATGTTCAATTATCTCATCCATTCAGTAAAATCCTAACCTACTTCCTAAATATATTTTTCCTTTTTGCTTTAAACTTCCTAAAGTGCATTAGTATAATTAAAAAAAAAAAAGTCTTCACACTTTTACACTTTCACACTTTATGATTTTCCATATTTTGCATAAGTGACTGACATTTTGAATATTGAAAGTATATAAGCATAACAACAATAGTCAAAAGAAAAAAATTAGTGTGTTAGGTGTAATAGTATTAGAAATATACTATTGTGTATTGTATATATTGTAAAATAGCCTATTGGTAATTATTCTATTTGCTTTGGTTTGAAATATTGCATAGATAGGAATAATGAGTTGAATTCAAGTAAATTTGTTTTGTCGATAAGGGCAGTGGAAATAGAAGTTGACTGTTGTTATATGAATTTGTGATTGTGATGTTTCGAGAGTACTTGGGCAAAGTGTGTTTATAAATTTGCTTTGTTTTTTTTTGTTTTGTTTTGTTTTCGTGGGATTAAAGAAAATGTTGTTATATTGTTTGTTTAGTTTTGACTTATCTGTGTGTATGATTGTTATTCGGTATAGGAGAACTCGCTCTATGCAAAATAAGTTTATTGAAAGGGTTGTTTAGTGTATAGAAAATCTGTAACACTGATGACATTTTCAAAATACACTTTTTGAGATCCGTTTTGGTTGGCACATAATATTCACATTCATTGATGTTAAATATGAACTACTGGAGACAGTTTTTACACTTTGCCGGAACCGTAACCTAGGAAAGTATTATATTTTTCAGGCACATAGGTTATAATTATTATAATTTTTTTAGAATAATTAATCAAGCATATATTGTTTTTTATCATCTTTTTATTATTGCAGTTCTTTTTAAATTGACATGTTTGTTTAGCTTATTTTTCCGTTGACATTGAAGACTGCAAATCAATTTTGTCGTTGCAATTCCTCTTGCCAATTTGTGTCTTTTGCTTGGGAAATGTAACGTTTATTTCTAAATAAGTAAACTCCTAATACATTCCACATCCAATACAAAAAAAAGAAGAAGAAAAAAAAAAAACATTCTTCACATTCTTATGTTGTTATTATAGGCATAGTAAACATAGTTTCTTTTAAGTGTATTTTTGTTGTATTTAAGTGGAAAAGGTCATAGGATATTTAAGCAGTGCTATCAGTCCCATTGTTTGATGTACAAATATGTGTATGTGTGTGTGTATGTTTTCAATGTTGTTGTCACAGTTATAGATGTGTATGTTGTTATTGTCATTGTTTTTGCCGTTACTTAATTGTTGGCGGGGGGGGCTGTTGTTTGCATTGTGGTGATGGTTTTATGTTTTGGTTTTGTTATTACCATTTGTTTTGTTATTTTTGTTATTGTTATTGGTCTTAGCTTTTATTTATTTTGTAATTTGTGGTGTAGTGTCAGTGTTGTTAGTGTTTTGTTATAATTAATATTGAATGTTAATATCTTTATTTTTTTTATCTTTTTTTTCTTTTATGTTATTGTTATTTCCATGGTTTGTGTTTTCCTG